GGCTGGGCGGGGGCGGCCACTGCGCCCGGGAGCAGCCCCAGCAACGACAGCAGCTGCAGCCAGGGCGCCATGGCGAGGGCAAAGCCGGCTGCCCGGACGCGCGGACCCAACAGACGCGCCACCGACCGACCGGGTACAGAGCCAGCGGCAAGCCGGGCCTGAGTCCTCCCTCCCGCGGGGCGACCGCGCGCCGACCAATGGGCGCTGGCTTGGGGCGCCTGCGCGCTCTCTTGTTTACAGGAGGCACGTGGGGCGCGCGGGGTAGGGAGAGCGGGAGGCTGCTGGCCTGAGGCTAAAGCTAGTCAGTAAGCTCTATCACATGCGTGTTATAGGTTACGCTTGTTATATGGCAAGATGGAGCTGGAGGCTCTTCAGATGAGGGCCACCCCTAAGGCAATCACCCCATCACAGTGGACAGCTGCACCGGCACATCCTCCCCTTCAGAGCATCCTGGTTTCTGGCCCTCGGGGCCTGGGAAGTGGCTCGAGGTGGGGCATCAGCTGCATCAGATTCCTGCGTCTTGACCTAACTCGTCATAATCTAACTGCTGCCTTACTCAGCCAGGGGGCGGGGAATCCCAAGAGCCTCATCACTCACCAGGGTTTTCTTGGACGCGGGGAGCCGGCACACCGTGGGGTCGTTGCAGGGTGGCTCCTCCAGGGTCGCCTCCAGGGAGTACAGCGAACCCTGGCCCGCCTGTAGAGAGGGGCAGGTGAGGCGGGCACGGTCGGCCCTTCATGGCGCCCACGGCCCCGCCCGTGCGGTGCTGCCTGTTCCCCACCACCAGAGATCGGTTCGTCCAGCGGGCAGGCCCCATCCCAAGGTTAGGTCAAAATTCCTATCCCTCGGACCCGGGCCCGGCGCCCCCGCCCCCGGCGCGTTCTCACCCGGCGGACGCGGCCGCGCACAAGGCCCAGCACGGCCCGCGTCCCCGCAGCCCGGCCGCGATTGAACATGTCCAAAGTTCTTGAAGATTGAAGCCATCTTCACAGGCAAGTCCTGGATAGGTAGACCAGTCTTTAGGCTAACCAGGGAAACCCACTCCAGAGGGAAGGGAGGAGAAGGGCGATGAGGCAGTGGCTGGCTCCCCAAGCTACGGGCTCCTCACCTGGGGCAGGGGATCCTCATTCAACAGGGAAAGGACTGAGCTGAAAGTCTCATTTCTGCTGTCTGGATGGGGTTGGGACAGAGAAGAAATCATTGAGCCCTGAGTGAAGGCTGACTTGGGCTCCCCAGCAGCCTTTACTTTTTTTTTGGTAGAGATGGGGTTTCACCATGTTGGCCAGGCTGGTCTTGAACTCCAGACCTCAGGTGATTTGCCCGCCTCGGCCTCCCAAAGTACTGCAATTACAGACATGAGCCACCGCACCCGGCCAAAACCCATGGCTTCTGAGCGGGAAGATAAGGTGGGAGAAGGGACCAGGTACTCAGGGTAGCTGCCCAGTCTAGCAAGGCTTAGGGAGAACTCAGGAATTACGGGGTCCTTGAACAGTTGCAATGCCTCTTGTCTTTCTCCTCCCCCACACCAAGGTGCCAAGTTGGGGGGAAAGTCCTGTTCTGATAGAAACAGGTACAGCAAGAGCAGAAGAGGAGGGGCTTGACCCCAGGCAGATAAAAGGAGGGGCAACTGGGGCTAGCTGGCAGGGGTTTCCCCGCGGAGTAGGTAGGGGTAGGGGCCAGACATGCAAGTGATGGAGTGGGAGGTCTGATCAACTTTTGGGGCCAAACTGAAGTGATGACTTCCCAGGTGCAAAAGCAGTAAATGGGGTCTTAAGGACCCTACCCACAAGAGGTGGTGGGGAAAGCCCCCATCATAAAGTAACTTCTTGCAGAGGGAGAAGTGGCTCCAGTTGCCCCTCCTGACCCCGTTAATGCATACCCAAATTCTTTATGGCCGAGTAGGCGTTGGAGGGCAAGCCGCCCATGCAGGCCTTGTCCATCTTGTCACAGTCCAAGAGCTCTAGGAGACAGAAGGCTGGTCCCAAGAAGCCCTCCTGAGGGGCTAGGCTGGGGACAGAGGGGTAGAGCGAGATGCTCACCCTGTTCAGAGAGGGAGAGTAGGGTCCCCTGGTTCAGAAACCACTGGCCCTCCACGTTGCCTGTGACTGAGAAGGCCCAGCAGGAGCCACACATGCCCTACAAGAGATGGGTGGAGTCAGAGCTGGATCCCTTCACCAGCCCCAGTGCAGTGCCCATGTCCCACCCTCACTTCTAGGGGTCCAACCTGGTCCTTGACTTTTGTGACAGCCCCCTTACTCCTCCAGTCCCATTCAGGTGGGGCGAGGTCACCCACAGACTTGGCTTGCTTCATCTTGTTGCCAGGC